TTGGCAGGTGAGGAAGACCCACTGAAAAACCACCAACATAGTTTATCGATTAGTCCTAGCAAAGAAAAGATATTGGAAGAACATATTAAAACCTTTGGCAGGAGGATGAGCTTTCATCTTCCCAAAAGAGTTGAGGAATCCTTAGAGTCCTACAAGACAAAAGTGGAGCCATCCCATCCTCCCTCTCAGTTCCACGCTGCCTCCCACGCCGTTTCTGCAGTGAATTCTGCCCAGACCTCCAGGTTCCAGCAAAGAAATACTAGTGGAGATGGGATGCGGACATTGAATTTCACACCCATCCAAGAAGTGTCTCTCCCTGCTTCCTGGCCTGGGAGCCAGATACGGCCGGCCTCTGAGATCAAGGTGTTTGTCGACAAAGACCTTAGCACAGCTCAAAGTGGCAGAGAGCCGATCCAGCCCTGGACACCTGGTATGGTGGACAAAGGCAGCCTGCAACAATCTGGATCAGACCATAGACATAGCCCAGAGCTGCCCATGAGACCAGATAGGCCAACAGTTCCCCACAATCCTAGAACATCTGACTATAAAAGTCAGGTGTCCAGAGGAGTCGTGTTGCACTCAGAGAGCAGACCACCCATCCAGGCAGCAGGCCTGCCTGATGTGCCCTCAGCCTCAGAAGAAAAGACTTCTAAACCCCAGGGCCCCTCCAGTGGGGATATGGTGGCTTCTCAGGTACTGCGGGTGCACTTGCCCACTGCGAGAGTTGGCATTGAGGCAGGGCAGAGTTCCTGGTTCCCTGCAAATGTGTCAGGCAAGTGCCAGAACAAGGGGTGTCCCCCAGCTGCCAAGCGAGTGTCCCCACTGGGTGGAGGGGATGCAGGCTTAGGGACATCCCAAACCAGAGGGAAGAGGCTCTCTGTTCAGGCCAGGGCACCAGAGGAAACACATGGACACACATCCTCCCCGGTACAGTCACGTAGGGGGCAGCCTCTGGAAAATCAATTCACCAGCCAGGTGAAATGCTTCTTGCAGTGGGTGTCCCCTGGAAGAAAACACAAAGGGCAGGAAAGGTCCCTGGCCAAGGGCAGCTTCTCATCACCACCTGTGAAGGGCACAAGCCTCATCAAAGGGAGATGTGAGTTTTATGAGAACATTGAAGCTCTGAAGTACGTGAGAGACCCCGGGGTGATCCTCAGGAAACCACTGGGACACAGGCAGGGCACAGTCATCCCCTGTCCCCAGGCACCTGTGCCTCCCTTCATGGGGTCTGAAGAAACTCAGCAGGAGGTACAACTGCTGGCTCAGTCAGAGCCTGTGCAGAGGTACCTCTCCTGCTGGCAAGCTGCCTGCTCTCAAGTGCAGAGGGCTGAGGCCTGCAGCCCAGGACAAGGGCAGACAGTCCCTAAGAGGTGTGGCACTGCAGGAAAAGCTGAGATGGTCACCTCCCCCATGCAGGCTCCACAGGGATCCCGAGTCCCACCCAAGTCCTGTCTGTAGGTGTCAAGCTGGCCAGGGTGTCCTGTCTGCCCTTCTCTGTGTTGAAGGAAATGTTGGGAGGTCTGTTTCCATTACCCACGAAAATGCTTA